AGTATCGGCTGGTTTTGGTTCCACTAGACTTTTAGGTCTGGCGCCCGTCCTTGTCGAGACCCCTGCTCATACTTGGCTGGAAACATCCAAGCCGACGAGTGAACGCGGCCTCTCACCTCAGGTTTGCCGCCTATTTTACGCGCGCGATACTCGCACTGACGATAGGTACCTCGTTGCACAGGTGACCAAGTTTATCTCGTACCACTTGGTAGCAGCAAGTTTCTACCTGCGATGATTCGACTGTGCGAATGGCTGTCATTTCTACCTATAGTACACGATAGCTGACGGTCAGTGTGGGCAACCCACAACGGTATCTGTTGATGTACATTATTGCCGATGTCCCCACAGCTATACTCAGTATCGATAGCTTACAGCAATATGTACTGTTGATTCACGTAGGCTGCATCTAATGGATACTTCGTCGAACTGCAAATTCATGGGCTTCCGAGCTCAAACAGTGCGTACCGTATTACAGCTGTATTTCATTCGCGTGAGTGCATTTTCCACGCTTTACTAGAAAATTTTCCCCAGCTAACTAAACCACTAGAGGAGAATCTATTGGTGACTCACCAAGTGGTACACCACATCGTCACCCGCGGACCACCAATCACGGCACGACCTCGCCGACCGGCACCGGACAAATTAGCTTTCGCTAAACGTGAGTTTGACAATTAACTAGCCATGGGTATCGCTCGTCCTTTTCACAGTCCTTGGTTCTCACCACTCCACATGGTTCGAATAAAGGATGGGATAAGTTGACGACCATCTGGCATTAAACGTAGTAACACGTTTCAAGTGCTATCCGATTACACCACATACACAACATCACAGGATCACTCAAGGACACGACTATCTATTCTAAGGTTGATCTGGTACGAGTATATCATCAGATCCCAGTCGCTCTTGAAGATATCGAGAAAACTGCTGTCACGACCCCTTTCGGTCTGTTTGAGTTCCTGCGAATCCCATTTGGATTACGGAATGGTGATCAAACTTTCGAACGGTTTATCGATAGCATAGTACGAGAATTGCTTTCGTTCACGTCTATATTGATGATCTAATAATCGCATCATGAAACGTAGATGAACATTATCAACATCTTACACTCTTATTTGGATAATGGAAAAGTAGTTAAGCCAGACAACTGAACTGAGCAAGGCAGAAATAAAATTCTTGGGTCACATCATTAAGCATGAGGTTATTCTACTTTGTGAAGACAAAGTACTTACAATCGTGGAGTACACTGTACCGTTCTCACTCATGAAACTGGAGGCTTTTCTCGGTTTGGTTAACTTCTACCGACGTTTTATTCCTCACGCAGCAGAACAGTTACGACCATTAACCGACTTACTTCGCGGCAATCTATGTAAATTAGAATTTAACGGTGCCTCACGTACCGCATTTTTAGAGGTCAAAAAAGCTTTAGCTGAAGTCACGATTCTCCACCATCCTGACCCACCAGCCACGATTAGTATAGCGGTCGGGGCATCAGATTTTGCTATACTAGCCGTTATGCAACAGAATATATCAGGAAGTTGGCAACCTCTCGAATTTTTCCCACGACGCCTCACTTCCACTGAGACGAGATACAGCGCCTTCGGTAGCGAACTGCTCGTAGCTTATTGTGTAGATCCTAAATAAAGTTTGGATTAAGGAGTTCCTATCCAGGTAATTTATATACGCGTCTTGCCCAGCTGAAATCCAAAAAAGTGATTGAGTAAGTAACGGTTCTACTATTATTCATAAATATCAATACATATCATTACCTAAACAATATTACTGCTTTATTCCTTTAAGTATTCAAATAAATGATATTCCATCCCTCTTATAACACAGAGTGTTTCCAATTCTGGAACAAAATCAATATGGCTTTCGCCATAACCAAGTATCAGCCTAAACAACATAATTCAGTTCCAAAAGAAACATAAAAACTCAGTAAAGGCACAAAAAATAGAAACTATAATAAAATACAAATATTATCATTTCAAAATGGAAATGAACAGATTACCAAAATGGAGAACTGAAATAATCAATAAGGACATATTACAAATGTATACATGAAGAGATTTTCACAAACAAAGCTTTCCAAAATGGATCTTACATACTGTGTCATCAAACATTTCCGGCACGCAGTATAAGGTCGTAACTTTATCCTTCTTACCGACCATAAGCCTCTAACGTATGTTCTGTATACCAAGTCTAGCCGCTACTAATTACAAGCGTCCGGACATTTGGACTATATATCTCAATTCACGACAGACCTCTGTCATATTGAAGGCCAGTCAAGCTATGTTGCTGATGCTCTCTCACGTATTCAAGTGAATGCAGTTACTTTAACGGTGCTTGGTCTCCCTGATATGGCCGCTGCTCAGGCAAATGATCCCTCCTGTGCAGAAGCACAACAATCTACATTTCTTCAGTGCCAGGAAGTACCCCTAGCTACTAGCTCAGGTACTATCCTGTGTGACAACTCTATTGGTCTACATCGACCCATCATACC